CGGAGGGGACACTAAGAGTCACCATATTGTGCGTTGCACCACCTGTGTCAGTTCCCTTCAGTGCAGCCTTCGGAGAGGTTTTTAGAATATATATGGGGGTTTTGTTACTCAGTTGTTTTTAGAGTAATAGCCACTGATGAATGAAATTGAAGAGGAGAGGGAGTATTTACATAATCAATAATACATTGCCTCTTTTTGCAGCTATATACCGTGCTCCGAGAGAATACATGTGGCAGTAACGGAGATGGCAGCCTTGTTCCCAAAAGTAAGTGCCTTTCAGCATTAAAATGCCTTTGGCCTCGTTCCTTGTTAGTAGATTTCCCTTCAGTAAATGAAAACTAAAAGCCAAAGGCAGGGAGAAATGCTGAGGTGTTTCTGTCAAATCTTGCATCTTTGTATTCATTGGCATGCCAGTTGGGAAAGCCTAATGTCTAAATCCAGGCCTTTAATTTTATTCTTGAACTTAAAACTCCAAGAAGTGCATGCAGTTCCTCCAAAACTGGAGGCTACTTGCGTGTAGCTTGAGGATCCGTGTGTTTATATGGGAATTTTGCTAGACTTGTTCCCTTCAAGGTTCCATTTGAGTGCCATTGCCTGGATTTCTTACTTGTGGGTATGTTTAGATCTGTTATCCATCTACTGAAGTGATCTGTTTCATCACAGAAATTTTAGGGAGGGAAATGTCCATGATTAAATTTTTGTAAAAAATTTTATCTAGATCTATAAAACTGCCAGGAAAATCTAATGCTGTTGTGCCTCCCTGAACAGATTGTCTTGTACACGCTGTACCCTGATGTCAGCCAGGACATGGGCTGGGCAGCAGTAAATGGGCATCACAGAATTTGTATGAGTAACTTCCTAAATGAGAGCATGGAGCAGTTATTCCCTGCGTGCTGCCTGGCAGCAGTTTGAAACGTCCCTGAGATGAAAGAGGAGAAATTCTGGGAACTTGTTTCATAAGTTCTGGGAACTTTATTCATAAGATAACTGTCCCTACCTCAGTGTCTCTGCAGCAGTGATGAGTTATAACATCTCCTGGAGCACCCAGGAGTCCATGCAGGGCCCTAGCAGCAGATGTCTGGTATTAAAGAACACTTATGGACCTCTACTGGCTTAATTAAAAGCCATCCTAAAACGGTTTTACTGTTCTGTCAAGTTCAATTTTTTAACTTTCCTTTCCCAGAAACCCAAATCTGAACTGGTAAGGACTTCTTTGCGTCTGCTGACATCTAGTGCCTACAGACTCCAATCCGAGTGCAAAAAAACCCTTCCTGTGGAGAGCTGCCCCACGACAGACATCCAGCTGGTCACGCAGCAAGTTATCCAGTGCGCCTACGACATCGCCAAGGCTGCTAAACAGCTGGTTACCATCACAACCAAAGAGAACAACAACTGAGTCACCCTTGGCTTTTTAGTCTTGTTTTTTTTTTTTTTTAAAGGTTGGATTTCAACTATAGGTGTGGAACTATTCAAATTTTTACGAGACAAACTAAAGGGGCAAGAAACTTCTTTTTTTTTTTTTTTTTTAACTCAGTATTATTTTTGCATGTTTTCTAACAATTTTATGATTAATTTAACCCACTGCCTTATCTCGTGCCTGTGTTGCCAGTTTAGTTACAGATAATAGCATGTTGAGCCAGTATCGTGTACCAGCGTCGTATCAAGCTCTCGCTAGATGTTTCCTTGGGGCCACGTTCTGCTTTTCAGGTATTGCTCACAAAA